ATGAAAAGGGATATTCAGTTCTCATGAAAATTATTGCACGCAACACTTATACTGAATCAAAATGCGAAAGAATATTAATCCACAGAGAAATTTCAGAATTGATTACAAAAGATCATATACTATAATCGGGCGGTTGCAATGTCATAACAAAAAACTGGTAGACCAATATGAACTAATATACTCATGATTCTTTGATGCTATTGAAAGCTGAAACAGTTTTCTTATACAAAATAAGGAGTAATTTCACTCAAAGGTGGAAAAGTTGAAGTACTGGTAATAACGATAATACAGTGACCAATTATAATATTAATGATAATCCTAATATTGTGTACATACTATGAATGTAACAATAAAAAATATGTATTATGATTTCTGAAAATATTAACAGGCAAGATGACAGTATTAGTTAATGTTTTAATTAAAACAGATAACAATAGTAAAAACAGAAAATAATTTAAAAACACTTAAGGATTGATAATGATAACAACAATAGTTATAATCATTACAACAGTTCTAGCGGTAGTTTAAAAAATGATTATCAAATATGATTACAAAACTTACTAATTCTAAAACCGATAATATTATTTATAACTGCTACGAGGTTCTTGAGAACAAAATTCGTCCTACTTCGGGGGGAGATGACATAGCGTTGTTTCATAAAGGTGTATAGGAAAACACCTATGAATTAATAATGACAACAAAACAACAATAATAATAATAATAATGGTAGTTTAAAAACATATTATCATATATAATTACAAAACTTCCTAATTCCAAGACAGATAGTTATATTTGTCCTTGGCACGGGATCCTTAGAGTAGAGTCCCTGAGGAATAAACACGACAGTGAAAAATTTGGTTCTCGTTATGCGCTGCTTCCGTAACAGTGAAGCCAACTGTGAAGAAAGCATATGTAAGGTATTTTCACATTGATAACACCGGCCATAGCAAGGTATTAATAACAATCTGCCTAATATCACATATATCGAGTGAGCATAACAAGAGAACAAATATTGATGCGAAGGAATACCAATTCAAGAAATTCGGAATGCTCAGTAAAATAGGAGCCATATCCTGTAAATGAGCAGTTACATTTCATGACAACGGATTCAGTTAAAAATGCGAACAAACATAATTACGAATGGCGGACGAAGGAAAAAGAATAACAGATTGGTGTGATATTCTATAACCATAATGACACTTATGATGATACACGTGTTTATATACCCACGTGTTCAGGGATTTTTTTTTTCCTGAAAAACTATCCCGGAGCTTGAAAATTTGAAATCCTCGAAATTGCCGCTGGAGCGAACGCTTACCCTTGAGGCAACTGAAGGACAGAGGCCGTCGAGGTGCAGCAGAGAAGGCGCAGCAGGACGGCGTGGCAAGCACAGCAGGAATGACATCCGGGCGCTGCAGCTTTAATGTGTTTCCGTAGAATATGAAAAACGCGCATTGCAAAAGACAAGCGTCGTATGTGAATTTTGGTAAAAGGTTTATCAATGAATGTCATTTGTTGCGTCATAACAATCGTGACTTATTCTTGATGTCAGCTTGCTTGCAATTTTCTATCACTATATATGTTCAAGCTAAACAAGCTCAATCTAACAAGATCAGTTATTAAATTTGTTTGAAAAAAATATTACCTTTCTTATTACTTTCTTTTTGTATTTCTTATTATTTTCTGCTTGTTTTGATTGAATTCTGCTTATATCAACGGTATATAACATTTTCCCAAAAAATCACATTACCATTTTGAAAGTTTGACTATTCGCATCTAGAAGGAAACTATGAGAAAAAGATCACGGATTTTTTTGACCGATGTCTCACGATCACTTGTGCTTATGTTTTATGTGAACTGATAATGAAGGGGATCACATCCTCTGTCAACACTTCTTTTCTCAAATATAATTTTACTTAACGATGCCTTGTGCACGAGGTGGGTTTCAGTAACGTTTATCGTCACGAAAACAAACTTTTAAAACAGGAAATATAAAAGAAAAATTGTATCAGTTTTATCGAGGCGCAAACAGTAATCTATCTAAAATATAGAATGGGAATTTATAATAGCTGAGTCTCACTATAACTAAAATAACCATTGCGAAGACGGCATAACAGAGAGTAATATTCATATTGGTGATGCTATCATAAGAATAATTATATAGAGGTATCCACATCTGACGAATCAGATAAATAGCATACGAATTAGCTCTGCTGTGGTTTGAAAAGATGAAATGCTTTCTTCAAGTGGGCAGGTTGGTTTTGCAATAATGATTTATTGATAACCGATTCTGACTTTTTTTCATACAAACTGAGGAGAAGGGGGGGGGAAATGTACTAGTTATGGAAGTGAACAAAGCTATTATAGGGAATATAATCTTTACAGACACACTAATATATAAGAAAGTTAATATTTCACCATCACACTTAAAGAGAAAGAAAACAATTATACCCTTTAATTTTAAAACAGCATGTTGATATATAAGAAAGTTAATATTTCACCATCACACTTAAAGAGAAAGAAAACAATTATACCCTTTAATTTTAAAATAGCATGTTGATATATAAGAAAGTTAATATTTCACCATCACACTTAAAAACAAAGAAAACCCTTTAATTTTAAAATAGCATGTTGATATATAAGAAAGTTAATATTTCACCATCACACTTAAAGAGAAAGAAAACAATTATACCCTTTAATTTTAAAATAGCATGTTGATATATAAGAAAGTTAATATTTCACCATCACACTTAAAGAGAAAGAAAACAATTATACCCTTTAATTTTAAAATAGCATGTTGATATATAAGAAAGTTAATATTTCACCATCACACTTAAAGAGAAAGAAAACAATTATACCCTTTAATTTTAAAATAGCATGTTGATATATAAGAAAGTTAATATTTCACCATCACACTTAAAGAGAAAGAAAACAATTATACCCTTTAATTTTAAAACAGCAATTTAATTCAATTGCCATAGTGATATCAAGCATAAAAAAACGTAAGTTAAACATGATAATGAAAAACAACACTTGAAATACGGAACAACAGTAAGTACATCATATGGGCAGAAATCATATCAAAATGATACTAAAATGAAAGTAATATCTTTTGTTAATGAAAATTATTATAATTGAGTTGGACGAAATTTCCTACATGAAGAATACGAAATAGTCGAGATCCATAACCATGACATTCATGGTTAGGAAGTTTTTAAGATATTCTTAATGGTAACCGTAGTAACGAAAATGATTACGATGCTAACAAATCGAGCTTGCTTGCTGCATCATAATCAAGAGCAATATTGGGCATTGAAAAAATGTACTAAGTCTTGCAACAAGACCAACAAAGTCATTATAGGAACTCATATATTACGATGAGGTTAAACATAGCAATAACGGTAATTGTTAAGAAAAACAACATAAATTATTACTTAATGACGAAATTCGTTGATGGTAAAAATAAGAAAAACAATTATACCCTTTAATTTTAAAATAGCATGTTGATATATAAGAAAGTTAATATTTCTCCATCACACTTAAAAACAAAGAAAACCCTTTAATTTTAAAATAGCATTTTGGACTTCATGTCGATTAATTTAACTGCCATAGTGACATAAAGCATAAAAGAAACTGGAAGTCAAACATAATAATGAAAAACAATACTTGAAATACAGTAAGTACATCATATGGGTAGAAATCGCATTAAAATGACGATAAAATGAAAGTAATATCTTTTGTTACTGAAAATAATTATAATTAAGTTGGACGATATTTCCTACATGAAGAATACGAAATAGTCGAGATCCATAACAATGACATTCATGGTTAGGAAGTTGAGTTTTTAAAATATTCTTAAAAGTAACCACAGTAACGAAAATGATTACTGTGATAAAAAAACAACTTGCTTACTGCATCATCACCAAGAGCGGAACAACAGTAAGTTCATCAAATAGGTAGAAATCGCATTAAAATGGTACTAAAATGAAAGTAAGATCTTTTGTTAATGAAAATTATTATAATTGAGTTGGACGAAATTTCCTACATGAAGAATACGAAATAGTCGAGATCCATAACGATGATATTCATGGTTAGGAAGTTGAGTTTTTAAAATATTCTTAAAGGTAACCGCAATGACGAAAATGATTACTATGATAAAAAGTACTTCCAGAAAGATACGTAACCATGATTATAATTGGTCATTTGCATTTTAATATTTAGCAGACTAGAAAGAGAATATTGATTTGAGTTTTACACCCAATGGAAATGTTCATACTACTAGTAGCAATATTTTCAGTAGTAGATGATACTAGCTGTAATAACACAGTAGCAATAATAACAATAATATGAATAATCATGAAGGTGATGCTGGCGATGGTGTTGTGGAGGAAAAGAACATAAGCGATAATAATCATTACTACTATCCCCATTACAGAAACAACGAAATAACGACGTAACCGAATAACTTTCGGGAAACATTAACCATACCAGTTGCACTAACACGAAACCGGCATCTTCAAACGACATCAGATGGAATCAGATTCCTTCAACGTATCAACCCTTATTTTCCATCAATCGTAAACCGCTGCTCTTGAAAAAAAAAAAAAAAAAAAAAAATCCGCGTCTTAGATTCTACCATCCCACGGAAGAAAGGGAGAGAATGAGAGTTAACAATTTACCGGTGACTATCAGACCTTCACACTCATCCTGCCCCCGCCATCGCCCGCTCTCTTCCAGGGCTCCCACTCACACCTCAGATCTGCAAGGGGGAGACAGAAGCTCATCGTTATCGAGTGCAGTCATCCTTTCCTGAGTAAGAATAAGTGTATTTGTTGATATTTATTAACCGTAAAGCTTCGAAAACCAGTTAGCGTACATGAGGACCCACCTTTCTGTCAGCAGAGGCAGCGAGAGAGTGAACCGATAAGAGCCACGTAGCGAGGTCTCGATTCAAGAGTCAAATGAGAATTTCTTTTCTTTTCTTTTCTTTTTTTTTACCG